AGAGGATGGATTGCATGATCTAATTGCGTTTCTAAATTTTCTGGTGTATGGTTTGGTCGTCATTTTAGGCTATATTTTAAAATAATATTCTTTGTTAGCTATACTGAGACTATGCAGAGCCAGTTTCAAGGATTCTAAACTGTGTAATTTGAAACGAAATGCCAAGAGAAATGGTCTTGTATGATTCCCCATTGTCAGAGGGTACGAAGGCTGCTCCAGCACAGGTCGAAGGCTTATCAGGGGATCGATCTCCTTAAGGCCTAAGCCAACGACAAATTCCCCAGGATGCAACCCCCCATCAGTCGAAGCCTAACTAACTACGGGCTACTCATGCCCGTGCCACCTCTTGTGGTGGCTTAATCTTCATCAATCAATCGACGCCTAACTTAAACTTAATTCCAAGTACTGTACCTATTTACTGCCATGTGAACAAGAGCATGAAGCGTAAGAAAACTTGCTGAATCCTCATCTGAAACCCTGCTCGGGGATCGAACTCTGATCCAGTTGGTTGTGAATAGCCTCCATTAATCACTGCATCAAAGATAAATACATACAGCCGGCATGCTCAAGCTCTTTCATATCCTTCTCAACTGCTGCGAAGAAGAGTCCCAATCAACATTGACTCAACACTGAATTAACGTGGATATTGTGTCCACTGGCGTGTAGCAGAGCTCGGCCAAGCTGATGAGGAACCAGGAGAGGATCTAAACAAGAATCTTGGGCTAATAAGCAGGTCAGATCTGACACCTCTCGTCATCTACACCTCTAATCTTGCACATCTTACACCAGCTACACAAATGCAATGAAATTCTGGACACGGCGTCAGTGAAAGTTTCGTACGCCATGCTACTCGCAGCAGTTGATGTTACAGTCACAGAATTAAACTACATTTGTCCATGAACAGATGCAAAGTCGCCTCCCCTGGTAAGTTTAAATTGCTGGTGACGTTGTTCCATTTGTGTCATGCCTTGTACAACATATAATTCACTGTGTAGGAGGGACAGGAAGCCAGAGTGTAATCATACAGCCGGTCGGCCGAGCGGACAGCACGCTGGACTTGTGATCCTGTGGTCCTGGGTTCGATCCCAGGCGCCGGCGAGAAACATTGGGCAGAGTTTCTTTCACCCTATGCCCCTGTTACCTAGCAGTAAAATAGGTACCTGGGTGTTAGTCAGCTGTCACGGGCTGCTTTCTGGGGTTGGAGGCCTGGTCGAGGACCGGGCCGCGGACACTAAAAAGCCCCGAAATCATCTCAAGATAACCTCAAGAAGAAGATACACGTTAGGCTTTTTATCGAGTTTCCAAACAACTTAAATCGATAGCTAACAGCGAGCATCAGAAATATTACAGGAACAACCGTGGACATCTTCAAGAGGAAACTAGATTGTTTCCTTCAAGGAGTGCCGGACCAACCGGGCTGTGGTGGGTATGTGGGCCTGCGGGCCACTCCAAGCAACAGCCTGGTGGACCAAACTCTCACAAGTCAAGCCTGGCCTCGGGCCGGGCTTGGGGAGTAGAAGAACTCCCAGAACCCCATCAACCAGGTAACCAGGTATCAACCAGCTAGACAAATATGAATAGATTATAAGATCCTTAGACCACCTCAAATGTTTAAACTTTCAAGCCTTGCTTGCTGCATACAAGAGAGAATGGCTGAACTTAGACAACTAATTGTGAAGTTTTTTAATGGACTCGACTAACACACTCCCCTTCAGCAAAGCTTGAAGAAGCATAAGAAAATCATAGTAAAACAAAAATACAATTTTCTCACCCAGACCCGTTGCACAAAGCCAACCAGTTACAAAGAAATTACATGAAAAATCCAAAGCTAGAAATGCTCTCAGCCATTTTATATTAACATGAACGAATGTGGTGTCCTCCATATATATATGTATACAGCTTTTATAAACTAATAATGAACTGACTGCAGCCTTTATCAGAGGCAATAGCACTGTTTCTAGTGACAACTGTATCACCCCAGACCGTCCTCCTAAGGTTTCCCAACGTCAAGAAAACGGTCAATTTAAAGTGGTCTCTCCTAACTTACCAGAGGACCCAAAACAGAAAACGGGACAGCACGTTACTTTCGTACGCGAGCCGCTTCCATTTTCTAGTACGACAATTTTTGACCTTAAGAACGTATATGCGCGAAATGCGACGTTTTGGGGGATCAGTACCTAGACTACTGCATCGTGTACCCGGAAATCCACTACAGTACTTGAATTGTATAATGAGAGTTGTCATTGGGAGGCAGACGTGTTGTGTCTCATGGCTTGGCAGTCACACTATACCAATATTAATGTCTAACCTGACCAGTTGCATGTGCAAAACCTTTGAAACAATGGTGCTCAATAGGTTATTAATTATTATATATAATTAAAGAATACACAACACCTAAAATATCAATGGTTTCACACAGTAAAAAATGTGTACACTATTGTACCACAACCTTTTTCATTGTCTATAGTGACGGCACAAATATACAGCATTTCTTGATTCGAAAAATGTTTTGATATTGCTAACAGAGAAGTTACATTGTATGAATTAGCTTGAATAAAAAGAGATGGTCAATTGCTACGATAGATACAAGGTTATCTTACTAACCGGAAGTCCTCTGCACTATTTCAAGGGCACAAGAGTGAAACCTAATACAACTAGGCACTCCTCAAGGAGGAGTCTTACACCCCACCTCGTTCACTGTATTAATAAACACTTGACTAAAATATATCCCAGTAAGTTCCTAAAACATTATTCCAAATCCTTATCCTGACCCCTTCCCAGTGCTATATAGTCGTAAATGGCTTGGCGCTTTCCCCCCCCCTGATAGTTCCCTTCCCTTCCTTCCTAAAACATTACTATTAGCTAAGCAGATAATATCATTCTAAAAGGGTTCCAGTAGTGCAGTTGGATTCGTTCTCGACGCACAATCGAAAATTACGGGCAGGACAGAATTGGTTGGGCACATTTCCTTTCATGTAATGCTCCTGTTCACCTTGCAGCAAGTAGGCACTCAGGAGTTAGTCAGCTTGTTGTGGGGTTGCATCCTAGGCGGGGTCAGTATATTCGACCCTGATTGGGAGGGGGGGGGATCTGGATAAAAGCCTAACGTGAATGAATACACTCTGGCTTCTTGTCCCCCGACACAGTGAATTCTACCACCCCCCACCGTGAGGCGCAAACAATCATAAATTATTTACAGCTTGTTAAAGTGTTGATCTTGTAATCTTCACCGAAAATCTATGGTATTCAGCACATAAATTGGTAACCACAAAAGTGGATCATATAAAATAAGATTGATAACATAACAATTCACAAAGTCTTCTCTTTCAAAAACCTTGAAATATCAGTCTCTTGTTCCTTAACTGCGTTTGAAAATTATATAAACAATGCAAAGATAGATATATTACAATAGCTTAAACTATGTGCTTAGCTTATGTATGGGTTGTGATAGGCTATCATGTACCAGCCTCAGTTCTATAGTGGCGGTAGACTGAAAAAAATGCAAAATGAAGCTCTCAGAATCATATTCGTCAAATAATTTCCAAAGTTCTTAGACCTAGGTATACCTAACATTCAATAGATACAATATTTTACATAAAACAAGCTTGTGGTATTACTACAGCTTCAGCATAGTAACGAAGATAACATTGTATCCGTTGAACTATTACAATTAGTGATTCGAGGAGGATTCAAAGAACAGCCACTCATATTAAAAGGTTTAGATTGCTCGATGGTGAAAAAGTGCTCACACGATGAGTATGGGGTGCACAGCTCACAGGATGAGTATTGGGTGCACAATATACTACCACTCACAGGATGAGTATGGGGTGCACAGCTCACAGCATGAGTATAGGGTGCATCCCTTTCAACTGTCAATCAATCAACTGTTACTAACTACTATTTTTTCCACACACATCCTCAGGAAGCAGCCCGTAACAGCTAGCTAACTCCCAGGTACCTATTTACTGCTAGGTGACAGGAGCATCAGGGTGAAAGAAACTGCCTATTTTTTGTCTGCCATCACCGGGATCGAACCCTAGGATTACGAGTCCAGACCGCTGTCCACTCAGGTATCAGGCCCCCTAAAATATAAAATGGTGAATGTAACTTTACAGTATAATCACATTTCTGTAACTTCACAGTATAAATTGTCTATATTATTTCTTCAAATTGTCTTCTCGTCATTCTAATCTTGACATAATTTAACAATATCAATAGTTTTTTTATGGCTGTAACATCAGTTCACTCCAAAACAAAACTGAAACGATAACAAATAAAAATCAATGATAAATATAGCCTTTAAATCTGGATTATCAATAAATTATAATTAAAATATGTTATGTTCTTATTATTACGTGTTCTTAGGTAAATAAAATACTGTAATTTTGTGTTAACTGAATTATAAATGTATAAAGTTTTTGACATTTGAATTGAAATTCTCGCTCAAATGGGGTCAGTGAGGACACGCCTAACCTTCATATTCTCAGGGTTAATTCACTATACAGGACGATCACTTAGGGCAAATGGGGAGGTTCATTTGACAAGCCACCGGCTTCCTGTCCTCGTCGAGGCCACTAGAGTGTTAGAGGCCCTGAGGTAAATTCAGGTATATATATAGGCTGGCATGGCGTGCAGCTAGGATAAGAGGAGAAATTAGGTAGTTAATGTGACGTTTACTTAACGATTCATCAACCTGCAATTTCCTTTCCAGTGGTGATTTGGGTCAGTTGTCAAGAGCCACAATGACTACTGAAGACCAATATTAACAAAGAGCCAATCCTCGTCACGGTTTTAGTGAAATACAAGAAATAAGACACCGATATGAAACTTGGCTCACTCAGACGAGTGTGAAATACGCCAACCAGTACACAGCCGGCATTGATATTAACGCGGAAACTGGCCATTTTAGCCTGGCAATGTGATATGTATGATGGAGGAGGGCCGGAGGGAGGGTGGATGGAGGGGATAGAGGGAGTGAGGGAGGGAGGGATAGAGGCAAGGATGGAGCCGCTCCACCACCAGTCCCGTGTCAGCACCGGCCCCGCACACACTCACTCCCTCGCTCCGGCTCTTAACTAGTCAAAAAATGGCCAAGATTGCAGGAAAGTACAAGATGGAATCGTCTGAGAACTTTGACGATTTCATGAAGGCCCTGGGTGAGTATGGTGGCTTGTGTGGTGTGTGTTGTGGTGGTGGTTAGGAGGGCGGTACGTGGTGGTGGTCTAGCCGGAGCGGTGGGGATCGATAGTAAGTCTTGGTGTGGTGGTTCCGGTGACGGTTGGTGGGGTGACACGTGGTCTCCTGGGCTGGTGACGCGTTCCTTGTGGGGGGGGGGGAGTAGTGACGCATTCCTAGGGATAGGTGGGTGGGGGGAGTGATACATTCCTAGGGGGAGGGTTGGGGGAGTGACGCATTCTTAAGGTTTTGGGTGACGCATTCCTTGTAGGGGTAGTGACGCATTCCTAGGGATAGTGGGAAGGGATTGGGGGGGGGGGTTGACGCATTCCCATTGGTAGGGGGATCGTGACCCCCCTTCCTAGGGATAGGTGGGGTGGGGGGGAGTGGTGACGAATTCCCAAGGATAGGGGGGGAGGTAGGTAGGTTTGTGACCCATTCCCACGGGTTGATTGGTGGGGGGGGGGGGGGGTGTTAACGATTGACGCGAGGGTAAGTACAATAGTACTAGTGCTGTCAATATGGCAATACCTTATTTTAAAATCTTACACTATACGTATTCTATTCTTTTCTTTGTTGAACATGAATATTACGTTGGTCATTATGGTTGGCAAGAGATTCATAGTACTAGTGGTAAGAAAAGGGACTTAAGTTATGGTGTAAAGTGGCTGGTTGTTGCCGGTTAGTCCTGTTAGCCTCTTGGTTAGATGGAATAATCATGAATGGTACTACAATATATTCTTTTCCCCCGCCCAACCACTTGGGCTGCATGGTAGAGCGACGGTCTCGCTTCAAGCAGGTCGGCCTTCAATCCCCGACCGTCAAAGTGGTTGGACACCCTTCCTCCCCATCCCAAATCATTATCGTAACCCCTTCCCAGTGCTACATAGTCGTAATGGCTTGGCACTTCTCTTGATAATTGCCTTCCTTCCCACTCCTTTTTTTTATATAAAATTTAAGCTGGGAATATATACGTGCCTAGTTTTAAGTACGTATTGCAGGACTTGTGTATAATTTTTATATCCCGGAGCCCATGGTTTTCCATAATCTTGGGTAGTTTCCCCATTGAAGTAAGTTTGAGGCAAAATACACACAGGGATGAGGTAGCTCAAGCTATTCGCACCCCGTTCAGTACAACGTGTTCATACATTTAGACACGCATCACAAACCTATTGCCAAACATTCTTGTAGGCCGTGTAAATCATGATTGTGCACGTGCTCCTCCGCTTGTACACACATTCCTTTGCTTGCCAAATCTACAGTACCGGTAGAAGCAAACTAGCCTTCAAAATTCCCACAACTGAAGAGCGTGCGCGAAAAAACTAAGATACCAAATGGTATAAAAAACATAATTGGTTCCTGGAAACCATACTCCTTTTACTAGGCTAAAAAGTTTAGTAAATTAGTTAAGGTAAATTTGCAAATTTCTGGTAGTTTTAATTACTATAGTGTACTAGTGATGCTATAGCTGTAATGGCTTCGTGCTTTCCCTTAAACTACTTTGTAGTCTGGTGGTGAATGGTTTTTAAAGACTTAACACAACTAGCCAAATATTTTACTTAAAGAACTGAATTTATTTTTTAGGTGCTACTTTATGGAATATATTAATTTAATGGTAAAAATATTAACGCTATATATTTCTCCGCTGTAAATATTAGAACCTTGACAAACCCTTCACGTTATGTAGATTCCTTAGGCTAACCATTTATTCCCACGAAGGTAAGTGTAACGTCCGGCTTGCCTATAAAAGGGTTGACCCAAATCTGTACTCGAAGCACGTATGACATTGAGTAATCTTTAATGTCCTTGGTAAGATGCGAAAACATCCTTTACAGGTGTAACTTGCTAATTCTTGGACTTACTCTAGCCAAAACTGATGTCAAAGTTACCACTTGAGTAGCTTGCCATATGGGCACAATACAAAATTATTATATAATGTATCTTATTGTGGCTTGGTCTTTTAAGTTGACCATTAGAACAATGGTTCAGACTAAAATGTGGGACTTTTCATGGAAACTGGTTTCATACTTTGACCTAGTATAGAATGACATTGTTCTTAAACTTTATACTTTTAAAAGAAAAGTATTTGCCACTTAAAGCAAAGCCTAAAGCTTCTAAGCCGTAAATATAACTAAAGATCGGAGGCGAGGAGACAAATTGCTCGACCAGCGTACGTGACTAGAATTAGGAAGTTTAGCAAAGCGTGAAATTAATTCTAAAATTAATGTAATTAATAACGTGGTTGCAATGCATAAAATATTACTATTGCTATGTTATTGTATATTAACGATATCATAGATTAAATCTAAAGGTTAGCATGCTTCTCCTTAGGTTAGTGGGCCAGCCAGAGGCTTAGGGCCTGCGCAGGAATAACCCTGCGCAAAAAAAAATCTTAGCGTCCATGATTTATCTAGTTTTATCCTGCCCATGTTCCTATAGGGCGTCTTAAATAGTGGTAGACAAATAGACGTTTAAGCAAAGTTGCAATTAATGGTTGTATTTCTTTCATATTGCCGTAGTATGAAAATTCTAAGTTTGGCATTCCTGAAAGTGCTTTCATAAACGGAACATTGGTGTAGGGTCCTTTAAATTGAAGACCAGACTGATAACTACCCTGACTAATTACGATGACTTAATTGGCACGGATATAAAACTTGCTAGCAACTTTAATGGTCTATCCTGTAAGTTGCATTTATAACATTTGTGCAGCCTTTTTCCGAAAATATCTTTAACCTAAAATAGTTTGTCTTAAGGGTCATCGTAGTGATGCAGAATAGATTAATTTCCAAATTTCAGTTCTATAATTGGCAAGTTGGGGTTGGGAGGGGGAATTACTAATGAAAATTGAAGTTTGCATTACTAGTTACCGCCTACACAAGGCTACCAATGGCAGACCAATTTGCCAGACTGAATAGGTTAGCTGCATCTGCAGTGGCGTGGTGGAGCCAGGCTGGGAGGCGGCTGCTCATTGGCCGAGACGAGGGTGCGGTCTTGTGGTGTAGCCACCGCAGCTGCTCCCTCCCTCAACCCGTCTTAGTCTTGCTTTACATTAGTAACCAAGAAAACCTATTTCCCCTTCAACGACGGTTTTGAATGCAGCTTGCACGCTACTAGATTGAAGACTTTCGTTATGCTTTCTTTAGACTTTGCAGGCTTGGCTTTTTAATATCTCTTTCCGTAGCAGGATACGGAAAAGATTTCCGCATCTTGAAGCATTTATTGGTTCGAAATGTAACATTCTTGAGAACATTGTGCCAGCTTGAACTTGCCATTGTGGCTTTGCTAGCATTTGAATAACTTTACTTTAAATTTAGGTGTCGTAACCAATATTATAAATTAATAAAATTAGACTAAATTAGTTTGAATTTCAGTAATGTACTGGTAGATTCTCGACCTACAGAATTCTATTGATGTGGCAAATTTATCGGTATTAAATTATATTTCTAAATCTTGGAATTAAAATTAGCGCCAGCTTGAAGTGGCCATATCCTTGATATTGAACCTTCATTGGCAGTAATGTTGGTGCTACAGTCTTGGGCTTGCATTTTTACTACCTTAATGCTTGAAAGCTTTTTACTCTTACGTTGCAAGAATAAACTAATATTTTTCTGATTTATACATTCGGCTACTCTGAAAAAGTTCAAAGTAGCACGGGCTATGGTGAGCCCCCGTAACTTAACCTGGCACAGGAGCAGGGCAAGTAGCACGGGTTATAGTGAGCCTGTACTAGACTTACCTGGCACAGGAGCGGTATTTTTCTGATAATGGGATAACACGGTACTTTAAAACGTGACAATATCCTCATTACCTTAGATAAAGGGTTTCGAAAGCCCTTGTGTGGATGCTGGGAGGGATTGGGTACCTATGATAGACCCGTATTGTTCTGGGTCCATGTATGGCGTAGCGGCCCTTTTGAAATGTACTAATCTAGTAGCCTCTATAGCTACTCTAATGGGAAGGGCTAGAGGTATTTGGTGTCATGGTAAAAATTATCAGTTACCTGATCAACAAGGCTGTGATTCCTACGTTAGGCTGCAAGCAGCCACATCAAACAGTCTGGTTGCCCAGTCCGGCAATCAGGAGGCCTAGTCAGGAACCGGGTCGCGAGGACCCAGAGCCCTGAAATCAACGCAAGACAAGATAACCGTTAACTTGGTAAGCGGTTATTACACTTCCCTTACACTTTCTGGCAACCAGTTGTTAAACTGCCGACCTTAATTTTACCTGGAGCCAACTACCCAAGGAAAGCCACCCTTATTTCCCCACTACTATTCAAATTCTTAAATTACCTCCCCATCCCCTCAACCGTCTCCCCCTCTATTGTTATTCTTCACAATACTTCCCTTTGTGCAGCAAAACCCTCCTCCCTCTCCACCCCCCCCCCCCCTCTCGCATTCCATTCGTGGAATGTGAGACGCTTGAATGGGTGACGGGGTGGAGGAACTAAAATATATCGACCCCTTGAACTACGGCCCTGCGGGCTTGGTCTAAAGTGTTAGCAAGAAAATAGGGTTATGGTCTCAAAGATCAACATATCGTCTAGTTTTGCTGCTACTTGTATCGGGTCGATCGGGTCTATGATGGTTGTGGGGTTGAAAGTCTGTTTAATAGAAGTCCGCGGGGGACGCCGCGTCGCCTGGTTGTCTGGTCAACCAGGCTGTTGGACGCGGCTCCTCACGCCTGACGTATGAATCATGGCCTGGTTGCTAATATACTTTGGAAGAGTTTCAAGAGTTATCTTCAAGACTGAAGTGTCTGCCAGTTATGCGCCTTATGATTAGCGGGGAGAAGGTTGAACGGCCTCTAACTTGAACCTAAACCAAAGTTGCTAGACTCGGTTGCTAGCATGAATATAATAATTCCTTGTCCCTTTGAATATGGCTCGAAGATGGGGACAGTAGTTTAACGAGAGGTTGATGAATACAAATACATGTATTAACGTAACTGTGTTACTACTAAATTATCTAAGTTCTCGGTTGTTTGCTTTGGCTCTTGGTCCCGCCTCCAAAGTGTCGATAAACTGAGACCTCTCGATGTAGTAGGTATCTTAACACTGCTTTAAATCTAGATTATACAGGTGGACATGTTGAAATAATAGCACTTTTAAATTTCCAAAACTGAGATTGTATTGCCATAGAGGTATTGTCTGCAGCCTTCTTAATCTCTTGCACAGCTTTTCATGAACATAATTAAACCCTATTAACAATAGGAAGAGGGAACTTGAATAGTCCCTAGGTCCTATGTGGGTAACCGTCTATAGACCTAGTGTTTAAAGCACACTATTCTTCTAAACCTATGTTCACCTTGTTAAAGGTTAATTTTCCAGGTGCACATTATTTCTCAACGTGGTCTTTCAGCGCGCTAGTATAGTACATGGCTATATTGGTCTCTAATTTAGTGCTTCCGTTGTCCTTCATTTTTTATTTTGTATGTATTGGGACTAAACTTTGCGTGCGCACCCCATCCCTCTGCAACAATGTTCAGCAGCCGTGATGATGAAAGGTAAAAGTTTTGGCTACTCGCAAATCTCGCGGGGAGGAAAAATGATTGAAGGGAAAGTGGCAAGAAGCCTGATACCAACTGTAACCGAATAAAGGGACTGGTGAGGGGGGCCGCGACGGCTCTAGTTACAGCTCTTCATTCACCCCACCATCCACCAGTACAAACTACCCCTACCCCTAGTACCAGTGGAGGGTACTATCGCCACCACTTGAAGCAATTGCCTCGAATTACCGCATCTCTTGTTAGCTGGCTAAAGTGCCGGGTGTTTAGATGTGGGGTGTAGATCTGGAAGGGGTATACGGGATGGGGGTGGTGCGTAGGGGTATAAAACGGCGTGTTAAGAGGGCAAGTAGAGACCCACGTGGGTTTGGTCTAGATAATAAATTGGATAAACGGTTTGGCATCACGCACCGGGGATATGGGGGTCGCCTGGTGATGGCCGGTCACTAACAAATTGTACAGCTAAAACACTATACGGTCTGCTACAGTGTTAATATCCATATAAATTTAATAGAAAGCGTGATTGATGCTTACCGATTACTTTTAATTGTTGGAAAGTCACTGTTGCAGTGTTCGTCTAATAGAAATGTGTGCGTATTAGCCGACTTGGATAGTGTGCGATGCTAAGTCAGACTAGCTTGGCTCTGTGTAATGGCTATACTGTGTGTGAATCTTCAAATTAGACATCCTTAATTTAGTCGGCTTTGAAGCCCTGATACACATGCTAGGAATCTTTAGAATTGTTCAGTTTACAAATGGAATTCGTATATATCCTCGTATGACCAAACTTGCTAGAACCGCCTTTTCTAAATTAGTTGAAAAGCAAATGGTGAATTAACAATTGGGCCAGTAGCTGTTGGAATAACTTGTAAAGTTAAACGGACCTATGGTAACCTAAACGGATAAAAATATTAAAGTAATTACTTGATTTATTATACACTCCATCCTCAGGATACAGTGCCACTACTCTCCCTATGTCTATATAAAGTATAATAAAAGTAACTAGAACATGAGTGTCAGGGGTCCTGCACGTTCTGTTCTCCCCAGGAAACTCGTGAAAATGTGCATAAACTTGTAATACACCAACTTGTATTACTTGTTAATAAATATAAGGAATGTATAAATGTACAAAAGCGAATAAGTCTAGTACAAATCAAACTACCCCTTGTGTTCATGCACGACAGGTGGGAGAAGAGTGGGCCTTTGTCCAGCATCAAAGGAGTTGGAGGGGAGGGTGCGTAGCCATGGGCAATCTCGAAAACTTGCTAATCCGTAATTACTCAACAGGGCGGTCATACTGAAGGCTGCATACAGGACCCTTCCCCCCCCCCCCACAAGACTGGGCGTAGGGGTGGCTGGGGAGGCCGTGCTTCCCCCCCCCCCCCCTCCCTCTGGGCATGTTGATGCCCTTTTCTTCCTCCCCCTGCCCTCTGGGCATGTCCATGCCCTTCTCCCCCCCCTGCATCCACCCACCCCTCTTATCTGCCAGTAACAGGAATCTCCTTTTTTTTTTTTTTTTTTTTTTTTTTTTCTTTCTTTTCTTTCTTTCCTTTCTCTCCTTAGAAAGGTAAAGTTTTAGATGTCAAATGTCGGTTGCACTCCTCCAGGAATATGGATGAGAGTAGGCAAATATAGAAGTTCTGCACTTATTATTCAGACTATAACCCATCCTGTGGGTGGTGGAAAGGGATGAGGCAATAATGGGTGCAGAGCAACTTTTTTTTTTTTTTTTTTTGGCTATACTATATGTAGGAATTGGAGTACCTAAAAAGGATAAAAGAGCCATTTTGTGCCAAACTAGAACATTTAAATTTAATGTTAAATTTGTAAGTTTTAATAAATGGTGCCTTAGCAGTTGATAGTTTAGGTTGATTAAGGTAGAGTAGATGCAGCCACAGCAGACTGAAATACAGCCTGGATAAGAGATTTTGTAATGAATTTTAAAATTGCTTAAGCTAATTAGTCTTAATTTAGCAAGATATTCAATCTGGACTTCAATGTTCAGTCATTAACAACCATCGGTCCTTTAACAGTAATGTAACTATGGGGCCCAAGAGTAAGTAGGATGAACAAAATTTTGTAGCATTCTAATTGCTTTAGTAAATTTAATGTGGCTTTAATAAGAAGGTAATGCAACTAGATTGCTTTATACACAGCACTGATAGCTGCTGAAGCAAAGTAAGTTAAATTTAGTCTGCTGCCAAAGAGGTGGCGATTGAGGGGGGAGGGGCACCAACTTGGGCAAAACTGACTTGGTTGATAATGTCATGCTAGGTTCTGTGTAAAGATAAATGCACGGCTTTATTTTAATGTAAAATCTCCTGTTAATCATTCTTCCAATATATTTACCCTCTGACTTCTATGGAACCTGACTAATAGAACCAATCTTGAAATGAAGATCACATTAAAGTGCTCTAATTGCATTGTCAGAAGTAATTATGTAAGTGTAGTTACAGGATAAGAGCTATGTTCGTGTCCCATCTCCCCAGCACTGTCATATAATGCTTTGAAATTGGTGATGGTTTTGGCCTCCACCCCCTTCTCGCCTAATTTGTTCCAATCTATTTACAAAGTGAATTTTCTTATTTCTCCAGCAGCTTTTTCGTTAGTTTAAACCTATGACCTCTTGTTCTTGAAATTCCAGGTCTTGGGAATTCTTTCCTTTAAATTGCATAGTCCTGTTACTATTTTGTACGTATTGATCATATTGTCTTTTTCTTTTTCTAGTTTATGCATATTTAATGCCTCTAACCTCTCCTCATAGCTCTTGTCCTTCAGTACTGGGAGCCACTTGGTGGCATATCTTTGCACCTTTTCCAGTTTGTTGCCGTGGTTCTTAAGATAAAGGCACCGTACAACTGCTGCATGTTCATAAATTTTAACATTGTTCATTCAAAAGTAGAATTTTTTTTTTAAATATACAGTAACTTAATATTTGATATTACAGTACATGCTATATTGTACATATTTAAACCTTGGTCAGGGTTAGGTTCTGTTGATTATTTGTAGTATGTGGGTGAAGCACTTACAGCTTTGTGGTTCAAACAAAATTAGTCTGTGAAGAACTTGTTCCGGAAGTGTTCGAACATCGTTGGTCTTCCGTAAACCCAGTTTTTTCATTCGTAAGAGGTTTGGCGGGTGCATGGAATGGACTTTGGTAGATTACATTGCTAAATTACTTTACTAAAATTACATTGAGTTTGCTAGGTTAAGGATGGGTAAGCAATGGTGTTAATGCTTGAAAATCATGAATAAAGTAAGTTCAAAAACTATTTGCTACTACAGTAGAGGGTTTAATTGGGTGGGGGTGAGTTTTGTGTAATTACTTGGCACAATTGGCTTTAATTTGTGTATTTAATGTACCAGTACTCCTTAAAATTTAGTACAGATATAATCTTCTATAGTATAAATGTACAACAAAACTATACTTCATCTTGCTCTTGTTGAATGCATACTTGTACTGTGTGCATGCGCAATTTAAGTAGTCTAAAAATACTAGTCTTGCATTGTGATGTAGCAATAAAATGTTTAGTTAATAGTAGGTACTGTACATAGACTTAAATAATACTGGTCTTCAGGTGTGGGTCTAGTGATGAGGAAGATGGGCAATGCAGCCACTCCAACAGTTGAAATTTCCTTGGAGGATGATGTATACACAATGAAGACTACCACCACCTTCAAGACAACGGAAGTAAAGTTCAAACTTGGTGAAGAGTTTGAAGAGACCACTGCTGATGGCCGAAATGTGAAGGTGAGTTAAAGGCCCTTGTGATGTTGGACTAATGATATGACCACTTTGAAACTTAATTTGTTCTTAACTTCACTTACTAATGGTAATTTATTTTTCTAGTCGACCATCACCCTTGAAGGTAACAAAATGATCCATAATCAGAAGGGTGACGAAGAGAAAAAGGAGAAGAGTTCAGTTCTCACTCGTGAGTTTACGGATACTGAAATGCTTATGGTAAGGTTTATAATTTTTAAACTACTGTAGTTTTTAAACTGGTCTAACAAACTTGGATTGGATGTTAGATTGCTTAGTTCACTATTATTGGAAAAGAAATGTGCAGTACACAAGCTGTAAGTTTCTACACTGCAATTTAACTTGAACATTAACTTCTCCCTGAAAATTAGCTGAAATTTTTTGTCAAAGTAGGTTCGGATGCTTGGTTAGTTTAAACTTTCAAACAGTGTGCACGTGTGGATGTTTTCATAGGTCATTTAGTTAACCAAAGTGCCTCGCCAGTTAAAAATTTCTATAACCCTTCCCCCCTCCATCCCTGAAATTGTCAATGAAATTTAATGTAGTTAATTTGCTTCTGGTATACCTGCAAGTGGTTTTTCAAAATTTTTACTCGTATAATGAATTTGGTTACAGAACTAAATTCTCGGGAGGGAATAGCAGAGGGGAATAACTTGTGTACATGCAGATGTAAGTGAATTCAAAGTGTCTACGTGGTTCCCTCAAATGCCTACTTGCAATAGGAACAAAGTTCTGATGAAGTTACAAATAATTGGCTGAAATGGCTTTTTCTTGGTTCTGATTATCTGTTAGCAGCATTGTGGCTTTCACAAGACCCTTGCAACAGAGGATGGGGGGGGGGGGGGGGTGGCAAATGGCTCCACTTGTAGGGCAAAGTTTTTAATAAAACCTTATGAAAGTTGTGCTGTGCTATATATGGTTGTAGCATCCACACTTCATGTAAAGGCAGGTGTTGAGGCAAGAGGCAAGTTACTTTAAATGCTTAAAGTATTTGCACGGTGAAAAGATCCTCTCGTAGTTATAGTAACTTTATTTAGAAAGGCAGAAAGTTAGGGTGTTAGCAGGCATACTGGTAACTTGGTGTGTGATTAAGTATTTGACGAAAGCTGGTCGTGAAATTGGAGTAAAAAGAGCAGTGGTGGAATGACACTAGTAACCTTCAGAGAATGGGATTTGAGGGTTTACATAACACTGACCTACAAAAGGGGCATAAACCATGTCTGGACATTAGATAAAATTCAGGGTGACTGCATTTAAATTTAAAAAAAAAAATGCACGTGCTGTTATATGCAGTATAATGCTATCCACTGGCCTTGAACTTCTTGAAAATACTAGCTGGAAAAGGAACTATTTTCCCTTGCTTGTAAGGAAAGTGAGCCTTGGCTTCCTCTGATATTACGGCTGAAAGAAATTTTTAAAATTAGAGCAAAGTTAATGTTGCCAAAGACTTGGTGGCAAGTGGCCTAGTTTGAATGGCATTAGTGCTGTAATTTCAGAAATGGTATATGCTGTGCAAAGCTTATTGAAACTGCTCTTTCAGACCAGCCACCCCCTTCCCCCTCTGTGTGTAGAGTAAGTCTGAGGGGTCTTTGTTTCCAGGAAAAAGTTAAAATCCCATGGTGGCATAAAAATTTTATCCATGGAAATGTTCACTCCTATCATGGAGGGAAAGTTAATCACTAAATATTGCAATAGAATGTTTGTACATCTGTTCTGAAGCTAAATTGGGTTGTAGCAAAAAAAAAATCGGATAATAATTTACATAGGCTAATGTTTCGGTAAGTAGACAGCTTTATTTTAAATAAAACGGGTAGTTTAATGAAATATTAATGCCTTCTAGTGATATCAGTGTTAGTGGCAGCTTTCTAGAAATGTACAGAATGCCTCTAAACATGTCCTTGCCTATTTACATGGTGCTAAATCTAGGTTAATCGTAAATGTTGGCTTTGATTTAATTTCCTAAACAGCAATGTTCGGAATAGTATCACAACCACAAGAGGTAGACTATTCCTTGAAACTTTCTCTTGGTGGCTAGGCCAACTTTGGGCAGCTACCTTCCTGGCCTTGACAAATCTCAAACTACCTCCTTCAGACAACAATGGCCGCTTTCCAGAAAGCGGTAGTTGGTAAAGGGCTTGACTTGCCATCTTCATCGATGAACCATGCAAGATTTGAAAATGCCCATATATGTAGAAAATTACATAATGTAAAAAATTTAATTCTTATGTAAAGTAAAAATATGAATATTACATATAATTTTCATGACTTGTATTAGGATAGTGTAGTAAAATGGGTTGAAAATTAATATGCAACTTGAGCTACTTGCTTAGCTTCTTCCCTGCTACTGACCCCAATCTTTCTACTAAAGCATAGTAGAAAGTAGTTTTCAGTTTTATAGACTGAAGCTATAACGGTTACTGTGGGGCCAGCATTAAATAAGATACACACAATTTGCATTGTGAAATCTGAAAGGGCCAAACATGGGTTATTCAAATAGATTTATCTAATTGTATGATGGCATAGTAGCTTGATGTGCAGAGGGGCTGGGGAAAAGCTTTTAATTCTGAGTTTTTGGAATATTGCATTTTTTTTCTAACTTTTTAATATTCTTTACAGGAGTGTAAAGTAGATGACATTGTGTGCAAGAGGGTCTACAAACGTCTGGATTAAGTGACTTGGGATATTAACCTGGACACCTTGAGAAAAAGCAATGGCTTTACTTATTGGTGTACTGAAAGTTTGTGTAACTATTGCTGTGAAAGTATAATCTCTGGCTGTCTTTAATATATGATCTTTATCAAGGATACATGCACATTAATCTGCATATTTTGCTCAATTTTTTTTTAATGGCCTCCATTACATCTTGATTTCAACTCAAATGTTTGATCATGCCTAATTTAAGGATGTCACTATTTTGTAGACTTTATATTAAATTTCCATCTTGAGTTTGCTGCTTTCTTGTTGCCTAATAAATTTAAATAGAATGTATTACTCTACTTGAAATTAGTGATTCCTGATGTGTGAAGCCCTATTTCCGCCCACTTTCCCAGTATAAACATTTAACTTGAACTCAAATTTAGTGTAAATTTACACATCTTGATGTTTAGGTAAATGGCACCATATTGGGCTTTTATTTTCAACAGCACTTCTGCAATAGCTATGGGAGAAGAGGTGGGGGGGGGGGGGGTCAAGACCCTCGAACATTTTAGTTTTGTAGTAATTGTGAAAGTTGGTAAAATGTGATTTTGGTTAAATTTTTAATGTGGACTGATAAACTTGAAGCAATTGGCAGTCAAGTGAAACATTAAAGTACTTGTGTATCCCATAGGCAGTGATATGAAGTATTTCCCATATAATGGGTTCAGGAACTGATCCCCCATGAAGTAATGTTGCTAAATTCCTGTAATACATGTGAGCACACTGTATTGTCACTATATGATGTAGTTTAAGAAATGGCCTGTGGGGAAGGTTAGTGTGGCCCACCTGAATTTGCCTGGTGTGATGTAGGGTCAAGTGGTCATTGAAAGATTGGTCTGTCACCAAGCTACTACTTGGATCCTTCAATGGAGGATTATAGTTTAGTCCAGGTTGCCAATGTTTCAACTTTTCCCTTGTGCTCTGTTGGTAGGGCAGTAAAGTCCAATTCTTAGGCATTTCAAAGACTATAAAACTCAAATTTGTGGCGAGTGCAAACAGGCCTCCAGTCTGGCTGTGATGCATGATTGAGCTCAAGTCTATGGCACTCCTCGCAATAGACTACTTGCAATTCCAAAGACCAGTTTACATACCGTAATCTGTTTGTCCTTGCTGTGTGACCTAAATATTTTGGTTTGCCATGATCTTGCCCACACAAATTTGCATTGATTACATCCTTGATTGAATGTAAGTTGGTTAACTGTTCAGGTCTCAACGGGCCTAATTAAATGTCAACATTGACACTCGTGTGGATTTCTTCATTGACAGTCCTTCCCACCCAATATTGGAATAGAAAAGATTTGTCTAGGATATTTTGTCCTATCCTCTAGATTATCACTACCTTCCTCATGGTTGTTAGGGGGGGGGGCCTCTTCCCCTTAAATTGGGTAGAACCCTACCATATTCAGTAATTCTTGCTAGTACCAGATGCTCTATTCAGGAATGTCTGCCACACATCTACATTACATGCTATAGATAAGGCATGTCAAACATGCAGGCTGCACGTGGCCTGTACAAAATGCTGTAATCATTTTTATTAAGTGACTAATTAGATTGTGTGGCCCTCAGGACAACACAAGTGACCCATATAGTCCTCGAGGGACCCTCGATTTGACAAGTCTGAGAATAGATGGCGAGTAAAAATGTTAAAGGGGAAAAGGGTTTCATAACAGCAGGTAGGGTATAAGCACCCGTGTGGCTTTGGGCCTTGTAAAATTTTACTAGTGGATCTTGCATAGGGGGTGCCTTTTGATAATTACTTGCTTGCATAGGGGCAAGGAAGGAAAGAGGATATTGCAAACATGAACAAAGGATCTTGCACATAGGTTCTTGCAGAAATGGGAACGTATTGAGGGAACTAGACCCTCCAAGGGGAAAGAGTGAGGGAACTATAATCAAATTGGGGGCAGGAGTCTGGATGTTGCAGGGACCATATAAGGTAGCCAAGGTGGTAATGATGCCAGTCCTGGGATAAAAGTTCAGGGTTGGGGGGGGGGAGGCATGAAAGGCACCAGAATAGGCATAACACAGTATGATGCAGAACAAAGATGAAGGGTTGCTGGAGAGGCACAGCCATAATAGTTTAGGATGGCACTAGTGTCTTGCAGCTCTTTGGGAATTAGACACTGAATAGGCAAGGTGAATGCCTTTGGTGATCATCTTGGAGAAGTGGTGGGGGGGAACCAACCAAGATGGAACACCTGTCAAAAGATCAACCCCCAGAAGTTTAGTACTGTATTACAGTATCTTCAGACTGATTTCCATAATGTCGACTGGATGAGGAAGAAGCCTCTGCATATTGTAGCTCCAAGTTCTCCCCAACTCAGGCTTGTGCCAGTAATAGTGGCCCAAAGATACATTATCGAATCACGTGTTGGAAGAAAGCAGTCTTAATGACATATATCAACATGAGGGCTGTGAAAATGTTAAAGATCATTTGGGGAAACAATGAAAACAGTGCTTTGAAGATTACCTTGAACACCTTATTTACTGAAAAATGAGATGGCAGTACGATGCCTCGCTTAACAAATGCAGAGAGGAACTTGAGTGAAATCGGGGACCTTTCTAGCAAAGGCCAAAAGAATGTAGTTCGGCTAAATATTTGCAGGTGGAGTAAAGTTTTTTTCCAGAAAAGGGGGGGGATGTATTTACCTTGTGGTTCTTCCAGGACGAGAGTCTCTCTTGCTTTCCGACCGTCCCTCGCGGTCACTTGTCCCTCGATAGAATTCTAGGTGAATCAGACACTTTTGATATCGTTCGCCTTGTGCGTTTTTGTTCTCGTATTGGCATTCTTGGTGATATTTAGCGCCCTCTGATTATTTCGCACTTCGATGGTGCTACATAGCCTTCCCGGTTTGGTGCCTTTTAATTACCTTACCTTACTTTGTGGTTACGGAGGTTGAGCTCTGCTTTTTCGACCTGCCTCTCGACTGCTACTAACAAGTGTTCTCGTTCTCGTGTTCACTCACTCGCTCGCAGGCAGAAGAAATAAGAAAATTCGCTTTCGCCAACAGTGGTAGACGGTTGGAACAGGTTAGGTGAGAAGATGGTTAAGGCCAAAACCGTCTTTAGATTAAGTGTTATACGACAGAGTACTGGGAAGACGGGACACCACGAGCATAGCTCTCGTCTTGTAACTACACTTGGGTAATTGCCTAGGTAATCACACACACAGACACACACAGGAAGCAGCTGTCTTAACTCCCAGGTACTTGTTACTGTCAAGTAACAGGGGCATCAGGTTTAAAGAAACTACCCATTTTTGTTTGCGCCAGGAATCGAACTCTGGACTATGTATCCAGCGTGCTGTCCACTCGGCCACCCTCCCATATTGGCTGTTTAAGTTGACCGCTCTCACACTCTCCAACCTGACCAAAATATCAGTCATTCTGTGATACTTGTGCAAGGCAAATTGAGAAGGGGAGAGGAACAGGCGAGAGGTGTTCTAAAAACCACATGAAGTGTACATTAGACTACATGCTGGTAATTTCCAGGTTACATGCTTAGTGCAAGGCCAATGTGAATTCCACCCCCCTCTGCATGTTGCAAGAGGTACAGCACAGGATATAATGAACAGTAGCCAGAAAGGAATGATTAACAAGAAGGGAGGAAGGATAGGAAGATTGGATGTGTAGGGGATAGCAACAAGAGTATTGAAAAGATGACAGTTCACCTCATCAAGCCTTCACTGGGGAAAAAAGAGGGACAAGGCTTGGGAAAGTTGTATTATTGAGCAACTGGAAGAATAGCAGAGAAAGATCTATAAAAGTGCAAATCAACAGGTCTGCTTGCCTGCATTCAGAGAAGAATTAGGAGAGAAAGATAAATATGTCAGCACTGGAGAAATGTCTGACAGACCACTGGAACATTATCTAACACAGTGCACAGTTACAAACTCTGTAAGATTCAACAGAACAGAAGTTGTTGTTAAACACATGGACGTAATCTTACTGAAGCGAACATGCAAGTCATAAATACTTACACACAGCCTCAGTAAAACAAACTAGTAACAATTAGTGGGCCAGCCAGAGGCTTGGGGCCCATGCAGGAATATCCCTCACTAAGCATAGTTTCTTTGACATGCCAACCTATCTTCTTGCCCAATACATAGCATAATATTTTTAATGGAAGACTGGAGCAAATAGGGAGTTTTCTCTTAGGAGAGGGGAAAACCAATCTTGCCAACAGTTCTGATTCATGTGCTATGTTGCAAATCACCAATTCAAAATTAAATATCCACATAAAGGCAATGTAAAAAATGGTTTCCAAGGCTAAGGCATACCACCTACCAGTACAGCACGAGGGCCAGACATGAACCAGTACAAGACTGCACATCATCCAAGTGGCACTTTTTATATTTCAATAGGGAGGAAGGGATGGACCAACCCCTTCACACTCGCACCTCAGCCAAGATACTCGACCAGCCACACAGGGCACTTCACAGGCAACTCCGGTGGTCTGATAACCTGTTTGGGTCACCTAAAGTCTGTAGGTGTCTGCACATAATCTCGACAGGCTAGAGGAAATGGGAGGGGATTAGAAAGCATACAAGAACAATGCACAATAACCTCCTTGCAACAAGGCGAGAAATGAGTGGTTTAAATCTAGCATCCTGCAGTTTTATTGGTCTCATTAGTTTTGCATCATTTGTAAACACTTGTGTGTGGATGTGTATTAGTGGCGGTTTATTTGTCTTTATACTAAAAACTTACTTTCATTCTAAATTCTACAAAACAAGCATTATATTTGTACTTTGTCTATTAGGCGCCTGACAGCTGACTGGACAGCGCTTCGGATTCCAACCCGTAGTCCCGAGGTTCCGGGTTCGATCCCCGGTGGAGGCGGCAAATGGGCAAAATGTTTCTTTCACCCTGATGCCACTGTTACCTAGCAGTAAATAGGTACCTGGGAGACAGCTGCTACGGGCTGCTTCCTGGGGATGTGCAACAAAAAGGAGGCCTGGTTGACTGGGCCGCGGGGACGCTAAGCCCCGAAATCTTCTCAAGATAGGTTGACAAGCTAATTAAAAAAAAAAGGGGGGGAGGGGACAAGTTTCCATTAACAAACCCACAATTTAGGGGGTTATATAAACTCCCTCCTTCTAAGATCCTTTTTCCAACTTTCCTCTCCAAAATGTAATGGTACTTTTTGAAGGAAATAAAATCCAGTCTTTTGTGTAAATGCAATTAATGAAGTATATTTTCAAGCTTACTTAAGCTACAGTCATTAAACAATTACACAATCAAAAAAAGCCATGTGTATCACAGAGCAAGACAAAAAAAAAAAAGTTTACAAGAAAATTGACTAGAACACAAACAAATTATTTACAATAGCCACCAAAACACTTAACTGAAAATTAGAAACATTGCTAATACACTTAAATGTAAATAAAAAACAAAAACAAAAAACATTTATACTTGACATATATGAATCACAGTATTTGCTCCTGTTATTGCCCAATACAGAGCTCCCCATCCCCGGCTATAGCCGCCTAATACTGGGTCCACCACCCTGCTACGGCCTGCCCCATCTGCTATGCTACCAAATACTGGGCCCCACCCCTGCTATGGCTGCCCAGTACCGGACCTCGGCTATGGCTGCCCAATCCCAGGTACCTCCAGCTACAGTTGGCCAGTATGGGACTCAGAGATTTACACACCTGAACTCAGCCGTGTGTAAGCAAATGGAAAACACATTTCCATCCCCAATTTCATTCATACCTCAACAAAATTTGAACAAATTAAATGTAAAAAGTTAAATAGCACCATTGTAGCAGTGTTGCCTACTTATCACTTAAACCTATTATTGTCCACAATAGTAGTTACCTATAAAAAAATATGAAGATTGATATAAAATTTCAGTGTTCAACACCACCTGACATTTCCAAGGACACGAATTCAAGTGAACAAATTATGCAACAAAATATACATAAAAATTTAGTAATGCCAGTTAGCTAGATTACCCGGTAAATATCAATGAGCAAAGATAAACATCAACCATATATTAGCAAGAAATATGTATGCTTATAAAGCATTGTTAAGTTCTATATACTGTAGTGTAGAACATGTAAATGGGATTTAGACAACATCTACTCTATTGAGAATATTTTACAATGAGTAGAGGTCTCCATTTTCTTGCTTTAAGTTTGAACAACACTCGCTTCCTTCAAGACAAAAGTAAACAAAACTTGAGCGATGTTACTTTTGCCATAAAATAAACCATGTCATCACCAAGGACCTTGCTAATAATAAATTTTAAACAAATAATGTATTGGTAATGAACTTTGTACTTGAAAATGCTTATTCCTATAAGTCACTCTCCATGCATACCACTAACAAACACTATCTTTCTATATATAAAAAATAACAGTACAATCATGTACATATATAATAGAAATACTGTACTTTCTAATAAAGGAAAAACTTTAACACTACAAGCCATTTCTCTTAAAATCATACTAATTAAAGATTTCAAATGCAAGATACAGTATTCTTTTTACTATTTTATAAATAGCATTGCTAATTAAAGCTCTCGGAGCAGATGGAGCCGCTCCTCCAGCTAAGGTATGATGAACCTCACAACTAGGCGAGTACATAGATATGTGGCCTACCATGCCAGAGTAGCAAAACATTTACAAATACAGTAGTTGAAAACTAATTGCAATACTGTATTTGTAAGTGTTACCTCACCTTTCCATTCTGAAGCTTTCAAGTAAATATAACCAAATTGAATGCAAGCATAGAAAACGCCACCTTAGTTTATAAGAAAACCAGCCATGTCTGCCACTCTTCAAGTAAAAGTAGCTTATACTTCAGAATACAGTATACAGTAGTATAATGTACAATAAGTGCACTGGTTACTTAACTGAAAGGACATTGCCTATCATGCTGAGAGCTAATAACCAGATTTAACTATAGTACCCCAAGCACATACAATCAACACTTCAGAATCGCCTGGTTACCATTTGGGTTTTTTTTTCGAAAGATTAAAGTTTCCAATAAAAGATAATTAAACATAATGGACCATGGTAATGGACAACACACAAAACAAAGGTAAAATATGTTATAGCTACTTCTGCTTAAGTGAATCAATCTTGAATGAACATGGACAAAACGTGCATGTCAAGGTACAGTACTTGTGCCGAGTTAAAGAATAAGTTCTGTATTGTAAATGTTATCATTGTGCAACAATGTCCTAGATGAAAATGACATGTAGCTCATTAAATAAAAATAATATAACTGAGGTACCTTAATTAGTACAGGTCACAGTAATTTCCGAACAGTAATAAAGCAACCTTAATATACAAATACAAAATCCTTTGTACCTTTACTGTGCTGTAGCTCCTGTTTATAAATTTAAACAAAATGAACCTTAAGGTAACTTCAAGTAATGCAAGAACTGCTATACTAAACTTTCAAAGTTCTCTATGACACAGAACTTTAGAACTTGAGCATTAATCAAACAATATCACTAGACAAAATAATAATCATCCCCAGAACAAGGATGAATTTGCTTCTCTATCCTTTAAAACAATTATATACAGTACAGAGACAACTTAATATTAAGATTCAAGTCATACTGTATGACAAGTTAAATTAAACTCCACAGACTTTGCAAACCGAATACTGTACTTGAACACTTAATATAAAACCTTATGTTTATAAGCAATATTCTTTTATGGAATGTATTCAAACTTGACTAGGTATACCACCTCATACAAAAAATTATGAAGTATATATACAATACTGTGCAAAATATTTTGCCGGTGCTTCATGGAGATCCTCGGAGACTAGAAGAGCGGCTGCCATATCCAGAATCTGGGGTGCTGCAGATACTGCCCTTTTCTTCACTCTCATACAGCCTACCAGTAAAGAAATTAAGCTTAGCCATGAAATGTGAACATATTAACGCTTGCAAGTAATAATAATACAAAAAAAATTCTGTAGACCCCCCCCCAAGCAACTGCTATATGGAATTAATACGGTATCATCCGATGCCTGTCTGCGGCATCTTGAAAAATCTCCAATTTTCCGGATTTCTGTCCAGATATGGTGAAGTTTGGCAGAAAGTTATCTGGAATTGATCTAGAATATATGCCAGTCTGCACTATCCAGATAAGCCTCCCATTGCAATCTGGCTTAGCTAAGGTTATTAGCGGAATACGGATAAGCGAGCCCATCCAGTACAAATACAAAACATTGACAGTTAAAGTGGTAGACAGAAGTGCATACATACAATTAAGTCAAAGCAAATGTTTTGAAGAGGTAAGCAGTACAAAGTACCTTAACAAAAGATCCATGAGTTGAGAGAGTGTCTGTAGGTGGTACCCAGTTGTGGTCTGAAGTGTAACTGGCCACGTTGGAAGTAATTGACAGCATAAACGACCACAAGCTAAACATGCTGCAGCCACCTGTGAGCACGGCCACTGCAGAAACACTTGATCTGTAAATACAAATTTATGCAAGTACTGTAATTAAATTATCACACGAGTACCGTTGCTCCACAAGATATACGACTACATACATATACTTAATATGAATAAGTAATAAAATACTCAATTATTTTACAAGAATTTTAGTAATGTATACACCTAGACACTACAACTACTCTCCCAGGAAAAACGCAGGGCCCACAAGCAGCCCTTGGTTGCCCTCCGCCAGGAGGGCAACTTCTATTCAGGATTAAGTGACCAGAAATCTGATAATAGCCCGACAGCTAAGTAGACAGGGGTGGTGGACAGACACTACAGTGGATTCATAGTCCTGAGGTTCCAAGTTCGATCCCCGGTGGAGACAAACAAATGGGCAGTTTCTTTCACCCTGATGCCCCTGTTACCTAGCAGTAAATAGGTACCTGGGAGTTAGACAGCTGCTATAGGTTGCTTCCTGGGGGTGTGTAACAAAAAGGAGGCCTGGTTGAGGACCGGGTCATGGGGATGCTAAGCCCCATAATCCTCTCTAAGAGAACTCAATAAGATTGCAGTGTTTTGGCTAGAGTTAGCAATGCGAGTAGTATATTGGAAGGCATTTTCATGCATCAAGTACCAGCACTTGACACATGATTGTGGCACTATGCCTCACTTTGATTACAAGACTACTACACTAACTACACCGACCAGAACTGCTTGGTGTTTGATTATGGTGCATAAAAATGTAGATATAACATGGGTATACAGTGTAATATCAGCAAAAACAGTATGCTTTATTGTTCAAGGAATATACACTAATACTGTGTGCATATTAGTGACACTAATATATCTGTACCTATATTCTACATATTCTGTGACAAATAACATTATTAACAGCCCACTGCATCATTGCACTTTAAAAACTATGATAAACACATTAAAAATGTCAAGACAATATAATATATTCACCAAGTGCAGTTATAACTTCATGCATAACACGTGGGGCTGAACTCTGATATGAGATTATTACACCCAAAACTGCCAAGTGGTTCGTAATGGAGCATGAAAATGTAGATACAGTATTTATCTACATTTCATGCTAATACAGTAAATAATAAAGTGTATACACAGTGTAATAAATAGCAGAAAAATATGTTTTATTATTTTAACAATATGGTGCCCATGTTAGTGACACTAATATGTTTGAGCATCCTGATATTCCACAGGCCAAGTCAATATTCCCCCTAGTGATCAGCAAATGCATTTTAACAATGAAATAATTTGTTTGTTTTCCATACACCATGGTTTTGTTACCTATAAACAGGGACACAACCCAAGAATTAAAGAGCTTATTATTTCAGGCAAATAATATTGCCCGAAACCCTATGCGTACTAGTGGCTTTAGGTATTTTATGTACTAGCTCGATCTTTAAATCCAACATTATGTTTGTAACTCATCATGTACCTTTACCTGAATAACAAATCTAATCTAATCTAAAAAGATTACTTCAACACCACCAGGAGTATGACTGATGTTGTCCACCCTACCATCGAAATAGCCTCGAAATGCCAATTTAAAGCATTTTTGCTCCATAAAGTATATATCCACTCAAGAAACAGAGGAAAATGTTAACTAAATATGCAACAACCACACGACGTAAATTAAGAAAGGTCTACCTATAGGTAGCATAAAATAATAAATAATAATACTTCAATTACATGAAGTACAGGATACACATTTGATACATGATACAGTGGAGAATTTGTAGGCAAGAAATGTACATTATATAAAGCAACTAATATGCAAAACATTTTGGGCATAACAAACCTAATCAGAAGATTTATTTACAAGCTTAAAGTGGTAATACTTTACTTAAAATTAAATGAGAAGTTAGTTAACATTATTGGATTGATAGAGAGATTTAGCAAACGATATGGACAGAGGTGGGAGGTGTGACGAGTACAGAGGTGCAATGATCACACGGAGTGGCAACAGCTTACCTTGTAGACTAATATCAAGGAACTGCGCAGTAACCCTCCACAGTGCTTGCCTAGTTAATACAGGAGCCGACAGATCCGCCCCCTCAACAGTGTCGCCAGCTGTAACTCCATGCATCAGGTAGAACTCTGCAAAGTGAGCCACTGTCACAGTCCCTAAGGAATAGAACCATTTGAACAGCCAGTAGTACAAACATCTTTCATTGCAAAAGATCAACTGTGGAGTAAAAGAAGCAAACGTATCACGGAATTCAAGCAAGAGCAGCAGACTATTAATTTAAAGATCCTATGATTTTCACCTTGCAAGAGGAGGGTGAAAGGTGGAGTGAGTGGGAGAGTGGGGAATATTGGGCAAGAAAGTTGGAGCAGAAGGAAGTGAGGAAGGGGGAGAGACACCCCATTAAAGCTGGATATCCCTTCTACTAAAACATGTAAAAACTGACAAATTTTAAAATATGACAATTATACAAGTACTGAACAGTATTATAGTCAGACAATAATACCTTGAAACTATACTATACAGTACACAAAATAAATGGAATTGTTTTTCAAGCTATCAGTAATTACTATGCCTTCAAGCACCAGCACTGCTTTGGTGGTCGAGTCTAATGAAGTTACAGTCTATCGCATATAGATGCAACCCCCACAACAAGCTGACTAACTCCTGTGTCCCTACTTGCTGTCAAATGAACAGGAGCATTGGGCGATAGGAAATTTACCCAACCATTTCTGTCCCATCCGGGATTCAAATCCAGAAGTCTCAATTGTCAGTCGAGAACAAACCCGACAGTACTACCGGGACCTGTTTTATTAACGTGTTATCTTACACTAATAATCCTAGTGTTGAAGGCGGTGAGAAAAAGCAAAAATACATTTCCATTGGTCAGAAAATTGATAGTACATAGAAGTGTTTTGAGATGTAGAAAAACTGCTGGAGCTAGGCAGAAACAAAGCAGTCGGCCCATATGGAGTCAACTTTGGTTATGAGGGAATGCACACCTGAGCTGGGAATTGAACTACAATTTATTTTTCAGGCATCTTTACATACAGGCAAACCATGCTTCCAATCTACAAAAGTGGTGGCAGAGCAAACCCTTTATGTTATAGCCCAGTATCATTGACAAGCTTGGTAGTAAAATCACTAAACCGACTTTCTAGCTAGCTATGGTATTTGGGCCATTTGGTGGTGGCCTTGGGCACTAACAACTTCAAGCTAGTTTCGAGTGAATTGTTGGGAATGAATAACTTTTAGTCATTTGGGAGTTTTGTTGCTTTGATTTCTATGAATCTTGTAGTTGTTTGTAAAACTTTAGACTTTTTGAATACTTTCCTTATGAGGATAATGTAATAGCCTCCTGCTCTGTGCATCTGAGGGGGGACAAGGTTCTGCCTTTGGTCTCCAATAGGCCAAACAGTACTCCTACAGCTTACATGACTACCAGCAGTGGGGGAGCCACCAAACGGCTCCTCCCAGAAAAGCCAAGCAATCCTTAGGAATAATCAAACGAACCATTTTCAAAAGGTCCAATTAATTCACAAGAAGCATAACTTCAAGCTACACAAGCTACACTGTAAGGCATAAACAAAAAAAAAAAAAAGATGCATTTTCAACCAAGACCACTAGAGATGTGAATACAGTACAAGTTCTCTCCCCCAACACTACTGTTGGTAAATCTCTTGCGTTATGTCAAAAGATTTAACAACCCTGCCTCCTGGCTTCCTAACTAACTTCCTCCCACAGCTTGATACCAGAAAAAAAATTATAATAATTTTTTTTTGCATGCACAGGAGAATGGACAAATTTGATGACAGTTGAATTTTGTGGATTAAGTAGTCTTTTTTCTAACTTAATGCTTCCATTTACATACTGTGATCAGCATTGAAATGCGCCTTTTAAACAAAATTAAATAAAGCCTACGCACCTACATTCCAGTTGAAAAACTTTAGCATAAACGCCTCCATTGAGTTAAAGATGGCTATGCTGTATCTGTTGTTTGCAAAGGCATTCAGCTCTGGGATTCTTGGAACATTCAGATCTTTCTCCTCAAATTTTGCTGCAAAATAAGGGATAAAAATAAATTTAAATACAAAAATTAAAAATACAATCATTATCCAATACATTACCTCTTGCACATAAACCGAGATGTACAATACTGAATAAATAAGCCTTTATAATTACACTGGTTACTAAATTTACATATTTAATGTATTAGAATGAAAACTCGTGGATCATGGCAACTTGACAAGTCTAAACAAACATTTATCTATTTATTTACTTGTACTGTATACAAATAGAACAATAGGTTCTGAAAGTACATATTAATTAATTCAATTCAATTAATTCACTGTGTCGGGGAACAGGAAGCCAGAGTGTATTCACACACGTTAGGCTTTGTATCGAGGCCCCCCCCCCTCATCCCCCAGGGTCAACAAGCTGACTAACACCTGAGTACCTACTTACTACTAAGTGAACAGTGGTATTAGGTGAAAGGAAATGTGCCCAACTATTTTTATCCTGCCAGGGATTCGAACCTGGAATTCTCGATTGTGCGTCGAGAACAAACCCGACTGTGCTACCGGTACCCTTTTATGTTGGTGATTAAGTGGTCCATTCTTGCAAAGCCACTAACACACTGTCTCAGACAGGTCCTAAAGCTAAATAAAAAAAATTTGCCTGGGAGAATGCTAGGAAGAGAAATACTCGATACAAAAAAATAAATGTAATGAGTACATATTAACAGATTTTTACTTAATTACCACATCAGTATAGTGAAAAAATAAATTATACTGATGGAAGTTGCATTTCTAATGGTAAAATACAAGGTAAGACAGTAACAAGGTACCGTGAGAGTTAGCTGAACTAGGTGGGATACTATGATGACGAAATTAGGTACCAGTACTGTACTTCATTGTTCTAATTTTGAATAAAGTATAGGTTAGACAATTCTTATTTATTAAGGAGCAAGTTCCATATAAGGAATAGGGTAATAAGGAGACAAAAAAACAGCAGAACATTTGACTTATACCATAGAGTAATCACAATAACGTGATGTGTCAATGAGAAAATCCATAAAATCTGTGCGTGTGTGGGGGAATACCGACTGTATAGGTTCAAACCCTCATCACGGCTCCTACGGATTTTCTCATTTGACTTATTGATGGTGCAGGGTGGAGGATGATCAACACAATGCAACCTACCAGCTAACAATATAGCAGTGAGAGCAGTTAGCCGCAACTGGTTGTCCGATATGTGATGTGCATCCATGAACCTGTCTAAAAGGTACACGGACAGGTGTGTTGTTGCTACACTTAGCTTCAGACGTTCACTCACCAAGCACAAGAATTCTACTAGTGCCCCTCTCATTGATATCTGGGGAAAAAAAAATATTGTTTACATCTTTATACAAATAAAATCTGAAACAAGTACAGTATTGTACTACATATATAATACCTATACTGTACACGAGGATGAACAGGTTTACCAGTTAAGTAGGTGAACATATTGTATTGCATTGTAAGCCTATATATCTCAATTTACCCAAGAATCACCATCTTTAGTGGACTGGATGGGGGACAGGCTTGTCAAAGATCCTCCCATTATTCAGGATTTTTTCCAGCTGAATTTTAAACTAAAGTATTGTCTTGGCATTTACAGCTTCATCAGGTAGGCTGTTCTGTGTATCACCCTGTGAGTGAAAAATCATCTGTTGTTAGTTTTACATTGTGTCTTGTTGAGCCTGAAGCTGTTGCCCAGAGTGTGCATGACATTGGACCTTTCAAAGAAGTCGTCCAAATTAATATCTTTAATTGTCAAGTATTTTAGAGGTCTCGTCGAGATCATTCCTGTCCTGTCTGGTTTGTAGCATTAGTCTAGAGACCTCTCAACTGTTTCTGGCGAGAGTTGGCTTAGTTCAGAGATGATTTGTATCAGAATTTTTATTATTTGCTTTTTATTTATATTTACAAGCATTCTTACAGTCTTGTACAGGTACAAGCAAGCTGTACAAGCTTTGAGCAAGTCCTTAATCCTAATTTTCACACAAACACACACATCCCCAGGAAGCAGACCATAGCAGCTGTAACTCCCAGGTACCTATTTACTGCAAGATGAACAGTGCATCAGGGTGAAATATACCCTGCCCATTTGTTTCTGCCTCCATTGGGGATCAAACCAGGACCCTTGGCACTATGAACCCCCAAGCACTGTCCACTCAGCCGTCACACCCCAAAAGGAAGAAATATATTTAACTTTCTTCTAAGTAGACATGTCCTCCTGAAAGTAAGGACTCAACATTTGTATACAGAAGTCTGTCACTTAATCCCTCGCATCTCTGCCCTTGACAGTCCCTCACCTCACCATTCCCTCATTTCTCATTCACAAGCACCAGCCTAGTACATCTATTAGACCTCATGAAGCTCCTATAGGTAGAACAATTTACAAATAACATCTACTCTATACTTTGTGTTTCCCTCCATCACTGTCAGCACTTTGAGTGTTCTCTTTAACCAATTGTTATGGGACACGACACAAATTCCACATTACTTTTGTATTGACAATCTTGTGTAACAAGTAAAAAGAAAACTACAATAGCCAATAATTTGAAAGTGGCATAAATTGGCAATAAGACATATAGAAGCCACATTTGTAGTTCCACTAAAAGTTATATCAAATCTGTGCTAACAATATTCTATTGAAGCTGAAGGAAATATTGTAATATTTCCTCTCAATATTTAATTGTAGATCACTCACATTATATCAATACTTGCTCACCTGTGGAGAATTGCCATTGTATGGAAGGTGTTGCATCTCTCGATAGTGCATCCAGGACAGTACTTCTTCTGCATAATCTGTCATCCAGCTGTTGCCTCGTGCCATCATATAACTTACTGAAAGAAACAAGTGAAAAAATAACCTTTGCTAGTTTAAAGGAACACAGCAAGCAAGTCGTAAAATTGACTCTGGAGGCCATTTGATGCCGTGTAAATTCTATATAGTTCCATACTAATGATGCTTGCTGGAGATAATAAAATTACACTTGCATGCACAGTATATATAATATATATGAAGGTAGGCCAGAACCCAAATCCCTAGCAGATGCAGACAGGTCATCACAACCCGGGTAAGATGCGTGAAAACGCGAGGTGTCAAATTCAAGCCAAAAGATAGGCAATGAAAGTGGTAAGCCTGATGTCCCGCCACCTAACCAGTCCCTGAACCCAGGATGAATGGGAATGTGCCATTACACGTCCCGGAGGTCCAGGGACACCATCTAGGCACCCGACTCCAAAAGAAGCCAGACCCGAGAGAGTAGTCATCCAAAAGGAGGGGCAAAGAATCCAGGGGGTTCAGAAGGGGACAAGACCAGAATGAACCTCAGATTCGCACAGTCCCTTTTACTGGAAACGGGCAGGAAACTCGCCTGAGGGACGGGGTTGTTTCGACCACTTCCAAGCGAACCTACTCCGAGATGACCTGACCGAGCGCAGGGAAAGAAGCCTGCTCCGCCAGCCCTGAACCCCCGTAGGAGGAGGAGCCGTCCAACACTACCACAGGCCTATGGATATGGGCTGGGATATGACCCGAAATGCCCACAATTTGTTGGATCAAGCTTGAGCAAACAGCGCGAGCCTTCCACCCCCCCCCCCCAATCGCCCTGTCAACGGGGTGAACCACGAAAGGGTCAACACCCTTAACGAGAAGCCAACCGATGAACAGAGTTATCACCACGCCGACCAGACAATGCCAGCTCTGAAGGCAACATCGGCTCAGAAACTGGCACCAATAGCCCACCCCGACTGGAGGAACCCCAAGCTCTGGCACGACCCTTCTGAGAAGACCAAGAATGGCCACCTCGGAGAACTAACAAGTCCAACATAGGACAACAAGTAGAAGACGCCACCTGCAGAAACTGCGTGATTGCAGACTCTGCAAACAGCACCGGACAAAGCGGTGACAAAAACCTAAGAGCCAGGGCCCAAGCAGATTACAAAGACCGAGCACACGAGGCAAGAAGCAAAAAGTAGACACCGCCTCCTTGAGAATCAACGCAAAGAGCCACAACAGTGCGGCTGACACCCTGGCCGCCGAGGCCCAATCCCTGACCATCCAAGTGGTTGGGCACTATTCCTTTGCCCATGTCCCATCCCAAATCCTTATCCTGACCCTTTCCAAGTACTATATAGTCGTAATGGCTTGGCGCTTTCCCTGATAATTCTCTCTCTCTCTCTCTCCTAAAGTCAATATCGTCCAATATTATAGGACGATATTGAGACTAGTTATCTCTCATTTATAATGTTCAGGAGTTTAAGTAAAGGTGCTGCATGCTGTCTGGGTAAGAGTTTGTTACTATTCTGTTTGCCAAGTTTTAGTCGAGTAATTATATGATGTTTCTATAAATTATAATTCATCAATGCTTTAACTTTTTTAGATTCTAAAATCTTTCATTTCAATTCTCAAGCCCTTCATGTACATATAACATTTCTACCACCTCTAACAGAATAAGTATGAGATGTATAATTAATGAACTTAAACTACCAAACATACCAATTCATACTGTATTATGAATCTGTTGCCCATAAATTATCGTTCAAATGCTTATCAAGCACTAATTTTAGAAGTAAATTGTTATTTCTTAATTATTAATTATTTCTTAATTTCTTTCTAGGGGACCTCGTAGCCTGGTGGATAGCACGCAGGACTCGTAATTCTGTGGCGCGGGTTAGATTCCCGCACGAGGCAGAAACAAATGGGCAAAGTTTCTTTCACCCTGAATGCCCCTGTTACCTAGCAGTAAATAGGTACCTGGGTGTTAGTCAGCTGTCACGGGCTGCTTCCTGGGGGTGGAGGCCTGGTCAAGGACCGGGCCGCGGGGACACTAAAAAGCCCCGAAATCAACTCAAGATAACTCAAGATAGGATAATATCTGTTCATCAGCATGACATCAATCATACCTATTCATTCATTCATTTTGTTAGCAGAGTGCAGCTATCACACTAATGACCTGGATGGGGTCTGGAAGCGGGCAACGTCAATTAAGCAGTCCCTGTGGCACAGTGGTAAGACACTTGCCCAGCGCTTCGCAAGCACTTTGGCCAGGGCTCGCATCCTGGCCGGGGAGTATTGACCAGGCGCTAATCCTTAACTGTAGCCTCTGTTCACCCAGCAGTAAATGGGTACCTGGTTGTATGGTTGAACAAAGTTAAGAAAGAAATTTGTAAGTCGACTGTTAGGGAGGATAGCAGGTTAGGGATTATATGGGTAGGATGGTGGAGGGGATGGGATGGGGCAGTTGCTAGGATGGAGGGACCTGGGTAGCTGGGGTGGGAGTAAAGGGGCTCAAGGTGGCTTGTGTGGGAAGGAGGGGGGGGGGGAGGGGTTCATTGGGAGTGCCTTTGGGGGGTTAAAGGGGATGGCTTTGGAGAGGTCAGGGGATGGCTTTGGGGAGGTCAGGGGATGGCTTTGGGGAGGTCAGGGGATGGCTTTGGGGAGGTCAGGGGATGGCTTTGGGGGTCAAAAGAGGATGGCTTTGGGGAGTTCAGGGGGTGGTTTTGGAGGGGCTAAAGATGATGGCTTTGGGGAGGTCAGGGGTGGCTTTGGGGGGCTAAAGGGGATGGTTTTGGGGAGGTCAGGGGGTGGCTAGGGAGGATGGCTTGGGAGGGGGCCAGGATGGGTGGCTTGGGGTGGTGTCAGAATAAGTGGCTTGGGTGTGGGGGGGTCAGGATAGGTGGCTTGGGTATGGGGGGGTCAGGATGGGTGGCTTGGGTATGGGGGGGGGGTCAGGATGGGTGACTTGGGTATGGGGGGTCAGGGTGGGTGGCTGGGATATGGGGGGGGTCAGGGTGGGTGGCTGGGGTATGGGGGGGGTCAGGGTGGGTGGCTGGGGTATGGGGGGGTCAGGGTGGGTGGCTGGGGTATGGGGGGGTCAGGGTGGGTGGCTGGGGTATGGGGGGGGTCAGGGTGGGTGGCTGGGGTATGGGGGGGTCAGGGTGGGTGGCTGGGGTATGGGGGGGGTCAGGGTGGGTGGCTGGGGTATGGGGGGGGTCAGGGTGGGTGGCTGGGGTATGGGGGAGTCAGGGTGGGTGGCTGGGTATGGGGGGGTCAAGATGGGTGGCTGGGGTATGGGGGGGTCAGGGTGGGTGGCTGGGGTGTTTGGGGGGATCAGGGTGGGTGGCTGGGGTGTTGGGGGGGGGGGTCAGGATGGGTGGCTGGGGTATGGGGGGGGGTCAGGGTGGGTGGCTAGGGGGCGTGGGTTATGTCAGGGTTGCTGGGAAAATCTGCAAAGTTTGGAAAGGGGAGGTGTGGACAGAGTGGTTGAAGGGTGAAGCACCCATATATATGGGTGCTCGAGTGATCAAGATTGTTTGAGGGGATGGGAAACGTTCAAGAAGGCTGGGGAAGGGTTCAATAAGGCTGGGGAAGGGTTCAAGAAGGCTGGGGAAGGGTTCAAGAAGGCTGGGGAAGGGTTCAAGAAGGCTGGGGAAGGGTTCAAGAAGGCTGGGAAAGGGTTCAAGAAGGCTGGGAAAGGGTTCAAGAAGGCTGGGAAAGGGTTCAAGAAGGCTGGGAAAGGGTTCAAGAAGGCTGGGAAAGGGTTCAAGAAAGGCTGGGAAAGGGTTCAAGAAGGCTGGGAAAGGGTTCAAGAAGGCTGGGAAAGGGTTCAAGAAGGCTGGGAAAGGGTTCAAGAAGGCTGGGAAAGGGTTCAAGAAGGCTGGGAAAGGGTTAAAGAAGGCTGGGAAAGGGTTAAAGAAGGCTGGGAAAGGGTTAAAGAAGGCTGGGAAAGGGTTCAAGAAGCCTGGGAAGGGTTCAAGAAGCCTGGGAAGGGTTCAAGAAGGCTGGCTGGGAATGATCAAGAAGGCTGGGAATGATCAAAGAGGGGGTGGGGAAGGGACATAGCTGGGAGATGAGCGGGGGCAATTGATGCTCGGGGCCCCGTGAGGCTGCACGTGGACGCACCTGTAAACATCAACACGTGACCCCCGCCGAGTTTGTTTACATTCACCTCTGACAAACCCACATCAATTTCTCTCAAATATTTTGAACACACCATTACTTACATGTAACAGATAAAGATAGATATCACCACAAGGAAAAGATAGCTGTTATAATAAGCACTAGGGGGTCATAATGAGCAGGAGCACAGGTTACAGAGTAAAGGGCTCAACCCCGCAGATATCACCTCTCGCGCGTCACCCATACTCTCCACAACAGCAATATATGAAGCTGTACCTTGACGCACGTGTGTGGAGGAGCAGGTGTGACCTCGTGAGCATGGTCTGGAGGAGCGGAGTGACGAGAGTGGCGGCCACCTGCGGTCTGAGGTCCTCTCGCCTCCTGTGATTGGCCAACACTGTTGCCAGTTTGTGTCAACACCTGAGTTAACCTCACTGGCCGCGCGTTCACACATGCCTTAATTCATTCTTTTTACTGTATTATTAACCTGGTTTCAAGCTGTTAAACGTTTATTTAATACTTATTTAAATAGAGGTTTGCAATGATACTTTTGTGTTAATTGATCGTGATCCGTTCACTAGTTTATTGCTGAATTTGTTTATCATTTGTAATAAAAGTTTGCAAGCATAATTTATGAAGAATATATACAATTTGTTAACTATGATATTTTATTTTGCTATAAATTAAATATTAACTAAATGTGGAAATGTATATAAACTAGGCCATCTACTATCAAATAAGTATAATAATTATTACCACACGTGACTGATTCCAAGAAGTATAAACAAGAGGTCGTGTTTACATGTCCCCAACACCAACAACACTGCTTGCCTTGTGTACCGTTGTTGGAGACACTGAAGCCTTATGTCAAATTACTCTGGTCCTCCAATTAAGGGAAGAATGGCCTCGCAATCACCAACCCATTTAGTGATAAAATGTAGATATGATAGAGCCCAGTAGGCTCAGGAACCTGTACACCTGTTGAGAGGCGGGACCAAAGAGCCAAACTCAACCCCCGCAAGCACAATTAGGTGAGTACCCAACGGTAATTGACCTGACGGATCAAGAGGCGCACCTCGTCCACTGACCTCACCCTGCAGTCTTATATGTATGCTTCCCTGCCTGCCCCTCACATTACGGGCTATTCATGCCCGTACCCCCTTTTTGGGTGGCTTAATCTTTATCAATCAATGCCCTCACAGCTCTTGTATATGTATACTTGCTACTTTTCCATCCACTTTCCCCACATTTCAATGCTTTGTCACACCGTTAACCACAATAACCTTCTCAAACTGCAACATTAGGGAGACACGGGGTCATTCTCTTCAAATGTGCAATGTAAATAACCTCAGTGACTTACGGGGCTATTCATGCCCGTGCCACTTTTTGGGCGGGTTAATCTTTATCAGTCACCTCTGTGAATGATGCTACTTTTCCCACCTTGTTAATTAACATAGGCGTCCCACAGGGTAATATACTTGGTCTACTCCTCTTTCACATTTACATCAGTGGTAAAGAATTATTGGCTTTAGGCATACTATATACTAGCTCTCTACAAATCCAACATTCTGCTTGTAACTCATTATGTATGCATGTACTTTTACCTAAATAAGGAATTATTATTATTATCAATGTCCTACCAAATGCCACAAACTCCTGAAACCAATTTTGTTTGTTGATAACACAACCTTCATTTCCTCAAATGTTAATCCACTTATTCTAAAGGACACAGTGAATAGTGAACTAAAAGAAGTCCATGTGTGACTAGCTACTAGGAAACTTACCCTAAACATTAAGAAAACGATTTACATATTGTTTGGAAACAAGTTCACTAATCAATTTGAAATAAGAATTAACAATACCCAAATTAGGAACAGAGTAGCTGATAAATTCCTTGGTGTTCACATTGACAAACTGAATCACCCATGACTGGGGATCTACAACCCAAAATAACCTTCGACCCTTAATTACTCAACATAAATCGCCAATTAGAACAATATCAAGCTCCAATTCCAGACAGTATTCGGTACCCTTACTAAAATCGTTAGTATGCTAAATATCAAGGCATGCACATTTTCTCAAGTGAACTCTCTATATCAATAAACCTTTGAACTTCGAAACTAATGTCAACCTCAAACGCTTTTTAGAAGGCTGTAACAGAATCCATGGGCACCACACCAGAAACAATTATCGATTTGATATTCCTAGAGTGAGACTCTGCCAAAGAAAGCATGCAAGCGATGCCTTGATCACCCATTGGGTTATAAACCCGCGGAACCACCTACCCGCCTAAGCCGTAAACACCAAAATAGCAGAAGGAAGAGTAATAATTATTAATTAATTATATTGTTATTATAATAATAAACTTATAATAATAATTGCTGTAATTAATAATTATTACTCTTCCTTCTGCTGGGTCATGAAGGAAGCGGGCCTCGGGTGAAAGAGGGCTGTGACGATCTCTGTTAGGAACCCGTAGGTGCGGGACCGGGCCGTCCACCTCCTGGGACTCGTGCGGCCCAAGTTCAACTTCAGGAGGCTGGGGTCGTTCTTGTCCTTGCTGGGTTGGTTCTTCTCCGGCCCCGACCACGGCGGTCTCCGGGTCTGGCGTCCCTGTGTGCCTTCTTTCATCAACTTCGAGGTCAACTCCGGAGCTGGAGCTCCCTAGGGCAGTTCGTTGTTGCCCTCAACCTCGTTCTGACAGTTCCTGCGACGGCACTGGAACCAGTCATATTGGCGTTTGCCTTTCCAATGGGGACTTTCGGCGCCGTAGAGAGGGGGGGCCTTCTCCACGGCGCCAAAACTTGCTGCATGGGTGACAGCTTCTCCCCGTATCAACCTACCCTGACTTTGCGCCCTGGAGAGGCCACTCCAGACCAACAGCCAGAGAGCAAATCCATAGTCTCCTCAGACTGATGGATGCCTACTATTGCGCCCTCACTTGGATTACTGTATCCAAAGGTGTAGAAGGATATCTTCAAAAGGATATAGCTGTTCTGGAGAAAGTGCAACACCGGGCAACCAAAATCATTACAGAACTAAGTCAACTCTCGAACTAGGAACGATTGAGGGCCACAGGCCACCGCTAACAACACTGCAAACGACAGGGCGGATCTTGGAATTAGACTGACGATGATTGATTCATGAAGATGAAGCCTTCATTACACACAGAGATCACACTAACGTGATACATCAAATGAACAAATCCACAAGGGCCGTGACGAGGATTCGAACCTGCGTCCGGGAACATCCCAGACACTGCCTTAATCGACTGAGCTACGACAGGGTAAAAGAGTTGAAACTAAAGTTCTACTGAACTTACTGGATCCCGTAGCCTCTCCGAGACACAAACCGCTTTTACACAACCCCCCCCCCCCCTGCACCCGAGCTATGTCAATAGGCCGTTCTCCCTCGTCACGGCCCTTGTGGATTTGTTCATGAAGCTTTCATCTTCAGCGACAATGAAAGTGTCGGCACGGGCATGAATAGCCCGTAAATGATGATTTGTTGTTATTGTTTTAGATTCAGCTACTGGGAACAAAAAAAATCCAAGTAGCACGGGCTATGGTGAGCCCGTAGTGGACTTACTTGGCACAGGAACGTGGCTGTAACTTGAAGGATGATTCTGTTGTTGTTTCAGATTTAGCTGCTCAGGACGAAGTGTCCATGTAGCACGGGCTATGGTGAGCCCGTAAAAATGATGATTCGCTGTAAACGGCTTATATTGCAAGCTTCTCCTCACCTTGCCATACTGACCAAAATCTAGCAGGTCGGGAAGATATATTAATTGTAATTAGTTGTACATTTGGGAAGATATATTAATTGTAATTAGTGGACCTAGGATTACTGTAGAACTTCTTGGAATGTTGAATCCTTAGAGACAGGTTATGTAGAATTAACAGGAACATCTAATTATCTCCGTGGAAGCTAATGAGAATATGGAGCATTGTCTGGGTCAAGAAATTGTTTGGATCAACATCCTCCAAATTTGTCTATATTTTAAAAGTGTACCAATTATATTAAGAATGGAGCAATTCTTAATATAATTGGTACACTTATAAAATATAGAAAAAATTGGAGGATGTTGATCCAGATAATTTCTTGATCCAGACAACAAGGAACAACGGGTTCCAGCTACACAAGCCACACTGTATTCACCTATTGTATTGTATTGTATTGTATTGTATGTATTGCATTGTATTGTATTGTATGTATTGAATCGACTTGAGAATGGTCCAGGACGGACCGAAACGTCGTCGTCCCTTCACCTTCTAATGTGTGTGGCTTGGTCAACACTGTATTCACCTAGTTGTGCTTGAGGGGGGGTTGAGCTCTGCTCTTTCGGCCCGCCTCTCAACTGTCAATCAATCAATCTAGGACTGAGAATAGGAGATGATTTTTCACCCACAGGATTTTAAACCCATGGAACCGCCTACCCGCCGAAGCTGTAAATGCCAAAACTCTGTTAAATTTTAAAATCCAACTGGAAAAAATCATCAGGTCAAATGGGAGGGCCTTTGACAAGCTGCCGGCTTCCTGTCCTCGTCGAGTGGTCCTCAGGTAAATACATAGCTGTACACACAGAAATCACAATAGCGTGATATATCAAATGAACAAATCCTGTGACTAAGGCGCAGCTGGGAATTCCCGTGCGTAGGTTCGAACCCTTATCACAGCCCTTGTGGATCTGTTTATATAGTTGTAATATAATTTCTCATTATCATAACCTTATGTACCTTTCCATTATTAAAATAATAATGTAAATTCAATATTTATCTTGTACACCTGTCACTACACATTTTTTGTTCATGATTGTTTTATATATTGCCTCGTATGGGCCAATAGGCCTTTTGCAGTTACCTTTGTTCTTATGTTCTTATTGTAAAAATTCAAAATCAAAATCCAAAAAACTTAACTTAAAACTCTCAACAAATTTTGTGTTAGCTTGAAGCCTTGCCCGAAATGTTATGTGTGTTAGTGGGTTTGCAAGAATGTACGACCTAATCATCCAAATTTGTACTTTCACAAGCATTTTTACCATCTTGTATATATGTAAATAATATTAAATAAATATAAAAATGTTTAGCCTAAACTTGTAGGTTGACATCGCTTGAGTCTCCATTTTCTATGTTTAATGTGAGCTTGTTGGTTGAGATCCACTTTTGAACTTCCGTTTTCTATGTTAAGCATAGTCTAATTTTTTTGTTTAATATTGTCAAGCCTCCGTATCTTATATATATTATGTATCTTATATATATTGTCAATCAATAATAGTCAATAATAGCATAGCCAGTCAATAATAGCATAGCAAATTGCCAACTAATCCATCTATTTAACAAGCTGGACTTGTGTAGCCTACATTTAACATTTGCATTGCTAATGTTGTAAATTAT